CCCCCCCCCCCCCCGCTTTTATTTTACTCCGTTTACTCCACCCCTCTCCAGGTCCCCTTCCACCGGGATCCACATGTCTCTCATTAGACAACAAACAGGTTTCTAAGAGATAATAATAAAATAAATAAGATTAAACAAAAACCGGACACATCAGAACAGGACAAAACGAACAGAAAGAAGTGTGTCCACTTCTTTCAGCTCCAGAATCCTAGGCAGCGTGGAGCTACACATGTCCTGGGAATGCCCCCCCAGTTTCTGTGAGTTCATAGGAGCTTTGACTTTGCTCATATTGATTTAGAAGGCCTTGCTTTCTTGGTGTCCTCCACTTCCTCTGGCTCTTAGAGTCTTTCTGCCTTCTCTTTTCTAGGATTTCCTGAGCCCTGAGGGCAGGGATTTGAAGGAAACATCTTGTTTAGGGTTGAGTCCAAACTTATTTCTAACAACCAGGAATGAGTGTTTTTCTCTGAGTCTATCAAAATGGTTATATGATTCTCATTTTCATGGTGATTAATGTAGTGAATCAATTTAGTATTTCAGAATATTTTTTCAGTTGATTTCTCTTTTATTATTATTATTAGTTACATTTTATTAACTCTGTATCCCAGCTATATCCTGCTTCCTCATTCCCTCCCAATCTTACCGTCCCTCCCTCATCTCCTCCCCCTTCCCAAGTCCACTGATTGGGGAGGACCTCCTCCCCTTTGATCTGACCCTTTGTATTTCAGAATCTTTAAATCAGCCTTTTATACTGAAAATCTTCTCACTCTCAGGTAAGGTACACTATGATTTTACTACAAAGTTGTATTAAATCGAGAAATTTTGTTGAGCATTTTTATGTCTGTGCTTCTGAGCCATAGTGTCTCGTCCATTGCTTTAGTTTTGTTCTCCCTTGTAACTTGTATATTTTAAGAAACTTTGTCATTTAACCCAGGCTATTAAATTTGTGGACTTAAATATATCATTCCTGTTATGTTATATGTAAAATATATTATATGTAAAATATAATTTCTTAATATTGTTGATGTCTATCTTTTTCTTCCTACTCAGAGTGGTTTGAGAAAGCTTTGGCTTTTTGTTGATTTTCGCTTTTGTTATTATTTTGTTTGTTTTATTATTTAATGAATTCTGTTTACTTTGGGCTGAAATGCCCTTCCCCTGAGGTGGTTCTTAGGTGGTTTATAGGAGACACAGAGGTCCTTGGGCTCACAAACAAGCACTAAGGAAAGCAGGCATGTTCAACACAGAGTTGTCTCTTTAAGGGAAGAGATGTATAACCTGTTGACACAGAAGTCTGGGAATGGAGGTCGTCAATACTTGTGACCTCTGCAATATCTTTTGGCCAGGCCATGCTCCCCAGACTCATGTTTATCTCAGACCTAGCCTCCTCTAGACCCTTATTAGGAACATTGTTTACATTAGCCTGCTTTCCCAGTTAATCTGTAGGGCCTATCTTTATGGAAGAGTTGTCCCTTGTACTTTACAAGAGTTTGGTTGACTGAACTGCCATAGACTACCTCCGTGCAGGGGTTCCAGGCCATCTCCATGAGTGGTCCTTGGCTGGATTATCAGTCTTAGAAAAGGCCCCTGTGCCCAGACTTTTTGGATCTGTTGCTGTCCTTGTGGAGCTCCTGTCCTTTCCAGGTCTTACTATCTCCTACTTCTTTCATGAGATTTCCTATACTCTGCCCAAAGTTTGGCTATGAGTCTCAACATCTGCCTCAATACCCTGAAGGTTAGAGCCTTTCAGAGGCCCTCTGTGGTAGGCTCCTGTCCTGTTCCTTGTTTTCTCCTTCCTCTGATGTCCATCCATTTTGCCTTTCTGAATGGGGATTGAGCATCTATGGCAGTTCAGTATCCAAGTGGCCTCCATAGTAATGGGGACAGGGAGTGTCTCTGACATGAACTGATTGGCCTGCTCTTTGATTACCTCCCTCTGAGGGGGGAGCAGCCTTACCAGGCCACAGAAGAAGACAATGCATCCACTCCTGATGAGACCTGATAGAACAGGGTCAGAGGGAAGGGGAGGAGGACCACCCTTTTCAGTGTACTGGGAAAGGAACACAGGTGGGGAAGAGGGAGGGTGGGATTGGGAGAGGAGGAGGGAGGAAGGTATGGAGGGGGGATACAAAGTTAAAAAACTGTAATTTATAAAAATAAAAATAATTAAAAAAGAGTTTGGGTGAAATCACTTAAGCTTTGTTGTACACATGGGATTGAGTTAATTATTACTAGAAAACTTCCCCCAAATTATACTGTGCTTGCATATTGCTAAAATAAACAACAGAGCATCAGATTCTTGATGTTTGAACCAACACTGGCTACTGTGTCCTGTTGAACCCGATTTTCTTTCTTCTTCCCATGGATGGACACACGGCTGGATGTGGTGTTTACAGAGAGCCCCCACCACGGGTGAAGTCATTAACTGTAAAGCATTCCTCATGTCCATTGTAACCTTCATTGCTTTAATGAAATTCTAAACACTGCTTTTGTTTTGTTTTGTTTTCATTTTCCCCCCATTCAGTTCAAATACTAGTTTCCATGTGATACCTTCTCTGATTCACAGTTCATCTATAAGTGTGTTTATGTTGAAAGTTCTAAGGGCTATTCTGCTATTGACTTGTCAGTGATTACACTGTGGTCAGACAATATACTCTATTATTTCAATCTTCTTAAATTTATTAACACCTTGTATAACCACTTTGGAAATCAGTCTGGCACGTTCTCAGACAATTAGGAATAGTGCTACCTCAAGATCCAGCTATACCACTCCTGGGCATATATCTAAAATATGCTCAAGTACACAACCAGGATATTTGCTCAACCATGTTCATAGCAGCTTTACTTGTAAGGGACAACCAAGATGTCCCTTAAATTGTATTACATTTACACAATGGAATATGACTCAGCAATTAAAAACAAGGAAATCATGACATTTGCAGGCAAATGGTGGGAACTAGAGAATATCATCCTGAGTGAAGTAACCCAGAAGCAGAAAGACACACATGGCATATACTTGCTTATAAGTGGATGTTAGATATATAATATGGAATAATTATACTAAAATTTGTATATCTAAAGAAGCTAACCAAGAAGGAGGACCCTGGGTAAGATGCTTAATCCTCACTCAGAAAGGCAAACGGGATGGACATTGGAAGAAGGAGAAAACAGGGAACAGGACAGGATCCTACCACAGGGGGCCTCTGAAATACTACCCAGCACGGTATCAAAGCAGATGCTGAGGCTCACAGCCAAACTTTGGGCAGAATGCAGGGAATCTTATGAAAGAAGGGGGAGATAGAAAGACCTGGAGAGGACAGGAGCTCTACAAGGAGAGCAACAGAACCAAAAAATCTGGGCCCAGGTGTCTTTTCTGAGACTGATACTCCAACCAAGGACCATGAATGGAGATAACTTAGAACCCCTGCACAGATGTAGCCCATGGCAGCACAGTCTCCAATTGGGTTCCCTACTGATAGGAACAATGATGGTCTTTGACATGAACTTAGTGAATGTCTCTTTGATCACTCCCCCTTGAGTGGGGAGCAGCTTTACCAGGCTACGGGGGAAGACAATGCAGCCAGTCCTGATGAGATCTGATAAGCTAGGGTTAGATGGAAGGGGAGTAGATCCTCCCATATCAGTGGATTTGGAGAGGGGCATGAGAGGAGATGAGGGAAGAAGGGTGCGATTTGGAGGGGAGGAATGAGTGGGTACAGCTGGGATACAAAGTGAACGAACTGTAATATAAAAAAAGAAAAAAAAATGAGCTTCTTTCCTCAAAAATAGTGCTCTTAAAAATTATTTCGTTCATTTTCTCATCCCGTTGTTCATTTTATTTGAGCTGTGTTTGCTAGCCTTTCTGTGTTTTATATTTAGGTCATCTTGCAGCACTTTCTTTTATATTACCCTTGCTTCTGTGTTTGTGTGTTTGTGCGTGTGTGTAAAAACCAACGGTCAGTGTCTTTCTCAGTCACTCTCCAGCATTTTTTTTATACAGTTTCTCACTGATAGACTTGACTGCCAAGCTCTCAAGCAGCAGGGATCCTCCTGACTCTGCCTATTCCATACCGGAAGTGCTGGATTTTTAGGCATGCCCATGGTACTTGTTCTTTTACATGGGTGCTGGGGACAGAAATCAGGTTCTGATGCTTTTAAGACAAACACTTTATGGACTGAGCCATCTTCCCAGCCTCTATTTTTCAAACTTGAGGGATACTTTCCATCATCTCCATTCTTACATAGAAATAGTTCATGGGAGAGGCTTTTCATTTAGGCAATACTCTTGTCATCATTCTATTTTCACCTGTAAGGTTAACTTAAAGGAAAACTTCATCAAAGACTTTAGGGCTGCCCAGTATAAGATTTCGTACTTGTAAACATTTGAGTTGTTGTTGTTGTTGTTTTGAGACAGGGTCTTTCTATGAAGTACTGCCTGACCTGGGACTCATTATGTAGAGAAGGCTGGCATGGAACTCACAGAGCTCCAACTTCCTCTGCCTCTGAAGTGCTTGAATTAAAGATGTGCGTCACCGCACCTAGCTCTGTAAACATTTGTTAACAGCATTTATTTCAACTTAGAACATCTTTTAAATTTTTTTATTTAACTTTTATTAATTGCACTTTATTCATTTTGTATCCCCCCATAAGCCCCTCCCTCCTCCCCTCCAGGTCCCCTTTCTGCATGCATGCCCCTCCCCAAGTCAACTTAGAACATTTTTAAAGCAAATTAACTTACCCTGGTATATAATCACATACATAAAATGCAGCTGATTTTCCCAAGAGATGAGGACAATTTACAACTGCACAACCAACTTTATACGTTTTGGCCCAAACTACCTATAAGGAAAGGAATTAAAAAGTAACATATTAAACCATATAAACAACTAGTCTGGAGAATATGTGTATTCTTAATTATGATGCATATATGTTTACTGCATTCTTCTAATATCTAACATATTAAGTTATATTTTGTTAAGGCTGCTTTTATAAGCATTAAATGTTTTTTCTACAGAAAAAAAGTCACAAACCAAAAAGATAACTTAATAATTGAATCATACTATAATACATTGTTAAAATCATAATTTCTTTTAGATAAATTAGGAAACATATTTTAATTCTCTCCATTGTCAGTGCTATGAAAAACATCAAACTCAGAGTAAGACTGAAAATAATAATTAGCTTTTTTCTTTAAAAAGAGTATTGCTAAATGGTTGTGCCTTTTAAAGTTTACAGCTTTTAAATTATTTATCAAATCATAAGACTGGTATGGATTAAGAATATGTGAGGTTTATTTAAAAGGTCAATGGTAAGACAGGAAATTTTTAATATTTTGAGTTTCAAGGAAAATTAATTTCAAAAGAAGAAGCCTTGTGCGGAAAATGAGCCACAAGAAAGAGCTAATGATGTGATGAACATCTCAAGTCCCTTGCATCGATGATAGAATGGAATTTTTCCTATTCTCAAAATGAAAAGAGAAGGGGATATTTTATTTATCCTTCTTGAAAATGAAATAATCTTTTCTAGTGACCAAAGATATTTTTCTAACTTTTTAAACTTTATAGTCCATTAACAAAATGGATTATTCTATTCCACAAATTGTGACAAGCACTTTTTTTCGTGGCTGAAGTACAGCTATAATTCATCATTTTGCTGAACATATGTGAATGGATCTTTGAATGCCTGAGAGACACTGTGGTTCAAGAACGGGCATGGTGAGCTGAGGATTAAGAGATGAGTTTGCTTCTCACCACATATCCAGCTCAGAGTGGCAGATTGTGTCCGAGCTTAGTTTCTCATTGAATAAGAATAAGATTAGGTTAATTATTAAAGGATCCTTTACATTTTGCATACCATAAAGTTACTTAATAGAATAACTGCAAGTGTATATATTTTCAAGGAATGTTTAGAATCTAGAATTTGTACCACAATATTCCATCATGTGCACAGTGTGTGTGTGTGTGTGTGTGTGTGTGTGTGTGTGTGTGTGTGTGCGCGTGTGGTAGATGGGCTCATGTGTATGTGTAGGTGCATGGGTGTTTCCATGAATGCAGGCAAGAAATGGATGTCAGGTTCCTGCTGGATTGTTCTACAGCATATTCTCTGAAAATGAAGTCTCTCATCGAACCTACTTAAGCTGTCTTCATCCTGGCCCGTGCTGGGGTTATAATCATATGTGGCCATGCCCGGAGTTTTATGTGAGTTCTGGGGATTCCAGGTAAAGTCATTTTGCTTGCACAATGAAGTGCTCTTAAATATTGATCCATCTCCCAGGCTTGGCTAGGCATATTTAAATTGTGATGTGTTTAGGTTTGAGAAGTTAAGATATGTCGACAGTGTATTATATAGCTTTAAAGTGTAGTCGTCTTATGAAGTGGACTAGATCTAAAACTTTTACTTATGTTAAATACAACTTTAAATAAGTAAATGACAAATACAAGACATTTTAAACCCATTTTTTTCTTAAGCAAACAATCATGTATACATAAACAACATTGTACAATTGTTGAACTAGTAGGAAGGATGGATTTATTTCCAGTTATTTAATATCTTTTATCAGAGATTCTGTGAAGAAGAAACCTTCCAGGTTCCATGTTGATACTCCATGTAAGTTTACGTGCCAGTGAGGAATAATCCCCCATGTGTGACATAAAAGTTTTAAGGTAAAAGGGATATGTGACAATGTGTTATTTTTTTCATTACAACAGGAGAAAACACAAAGACTCAGCCTGCTACCAAACACCCTGCTACCAAAGAGCAAACAGAAGTTCTGAAAACAAAGCCAAAAGTTTTCTTCTTCACTGAATCTCTGATAAAAACTACTTGCTCAACATGTTGTTGTTAAGATTTCTAACTATTCAGGATGTTCATGGAGTTATTAAAACAAAAGTTACTGAGTACCAGATAAGTATTAGTTACTGTGCTTTACCCTGCTGATACAAAGAGGAAGTGCTTTAAATTGAGAGCGATATAAGACATTAAATAAGCGATGTAACATAACAAAATAATTTTGGTAAGACATTGAAAACATTAATTCAGCATAAATAGATGAATGAGTTTGGTCAAACAAAATAGCTCCTCCTGCTGCTCCTGTGGCCTCTGAAAAGTATCTAGGAGTAAGGCTTAGCCAGAATGTATTTCTTCTTCTCGTCAAGATGTAGATACCAAGGACAGATTTTTATTTCTATTTTCAGTTACATAAACAAGAAGAAAAAGTATAAGAAATAGTCTTTTTAATATCCTGGGTATCAGATAGCAAAAGTTAATCAGTCAAAAAAAAAAAAAAAAAAGGGAGGGGAACAGTGTATGAACTATGCATCTAAAGTAAGCTTATTGCCTTATGACTCTCCTGATCATGATGGGGGAGGGGAAACCAGCAATAGTTTGAAGGATTCACACAGCTGAGAAGATCTGACCTGAGGGTTTAGGAAGAACAAGTGGGCAGAGGATTCAGAAGGAACAACACTAGGATGTTCAAAATACTGTGGTGATGGGGAAGAGAGCTTCATCTATTCACAAAGTACTAAACACAGCATGTGTGTGGAGGAGACCCTCCAGGCTCGGGATAGAACCATCTGTAAGAATTAGAGGCCAAGATCAGAGCCTGAGTCCACTATCCACATAGGGAAATTTCATAATTCATATGTGACTGGTATTCAAAATATCTTGATTCAGTGGTAAAGCATAATTAGCCTTAAAATAGTCACTACTTTCATTCTATAGCCCATATTTTAAAAGCAGGAACTCAAAGGATCTAACAAATTCTAAGAAACTTAACTGTCACAGCCATATTTACCAGAAATGTCAAAAGTCCTGAAGCCAGAAGCTGTTTGACACAGTTCCAACAAAGCCGAGCTGAATGCTGCAATCACTGTCATTCTGTCTCTGACTTTTAGGTTTTCCGTCCCTGTGTGTTGCATTCTTAGAGACTTTCTGCATTATGAGTCATCTTATGTTTTTTTCCGAGAAAATTATGTCTGAGTTATCCATTCTGTTTTTAGGAAAATAACTTTATCTGGCCTTATTTAGAAGTCTTCTTTATGCCCCAGAGATCACTAAGCACAGATAAGCACATAGCTAGAATTTTTTTCTTTTCTTTTTCTTTTTCTTTCTTTCTATCTCTCTCTCTCTCTCTTTTTGGTGTTACAAAGAGGTATATTGAGCCATGAAGGTAGAGAGATAGAGAGACAGAGAGACAGAGAGAGAGAGAGAGAGAGAGTCAATAGGAAAAGAAAGAAAGGGAAATAGGGTAAGGTACCCCAGGAGAGAAAAGTCAGAGAGAAGTTTCTTTATGAGGCCTTACTTCAGGAATCTTCTTGGGGCATCTGTCCCTAAGCAAATCCAAACAGTGTATTTGATGCAGAGTAAACAGAGAATTGACAAGCTATGACTGGCCAGGAGAATAGGTTATAGATTTAAGACCCTAACCCTTTACATTATATTTAGAGCACTCTAAAAATGTAGTTTAAAGGTAGAGGGTCACACAGAGCATACCTCCAGAGGAATAGAATCCAGTAAATAAGAGAGATTGGCTAAAATAACCTCTTCCTTCTTTATAGAGTAGATAACGAAACAAACAACACAGGAGTTAGGTAGTAGTAATTGTCATTCATAAAGCTTACAGTAAGTCCAATACATCACAAGGTAATATGCTTCAATATACTGGGTATATAATGACATCGATAAAAACATGATTAGGAATACAGATATCTGTGTCATAATGAAGGCAAAAATTAATCCATTGAAATGAATACACATCTAACAAATACCGCAATAGTGAAAATACTAAAAATAATGATTACTTCTGGGTTTCACATGCTTTAGAAGCTAAATAAAGGATTAGATATACTAGGTATCTTTACTTAAAATGTTAACAGCTGGCTGTGGTGATGCACACTTTTCATTTTAGCATTTGGGAGGTAAAGGCAGATGGATTTCTGTGATTGAAGACATCCTTGTATACATGTTGAGTTCCAGGCCATCCATGGCTACATAATGAGATCTTATTAAAAACAAAAAAGAAAAAAAATAGTTAAAAGAAACAAACTTGGGTGTTCCAATATGGCAGCGCCGGGAAGACACTGTGTTTGCAGAGCAGGAGAGCAGTGACTGCACAGAGACCAACAGACCGAACTCTGGGCCGAAAAGAACAATGATTGTGTTTCCCAGGTGAGAGGAAACCCCACGATGTGAGAAACAATCAGATCCTTTCACCCATCTAAACCCTGGAAGAGTTTCCGAGTCCCAGCAGGTGCTTGGTAGCCAGCCCAGAGCCACACACCAGTGTGTTCTGATCATCATTCCAGCCTGAACTGTGGGCACCACAATACCAGAAACAGATTTCCAGTTGAGAGAAAACCCCACGGTGAAGGAAGCAATCAGGATGGACATCGGTCATCCAGACAAGCCCTGGAAAATATCCTGAGGTCTGGAAGGCACTCAGCCACGAGCCTAGAGACCTGCCTGCACCCCAACTCACTGTCTCAGACAGCACTGTGGGCCCCAGGGCACCAAAGACTGGGCTTCCCTGTCAGGAGGAAACCCGATGGTGAGGGAAGCATTAGGTCTGACCTCAGGGCACTCAAATGACCTCCTCCTGATCCACAAAAAGTTCTTGTGAAAAGTTCCCGGGTTCCTGCATGCACCCAGTCACCAGTGTGGAGCCACTTGCCTGTGCCTACAGGCTCTACTCACTCACCATCACAGACTGATGTAGACCCCAGAACACTACAGACTGGCTCTCCCTGTCAGGAGGAAACCCCATGGTGGGGGAAACTCAGTCCATCCTCAGGACACCCAGCTCTGTAAAAGTTTCTGGGTTCCCACAGTCTCCAGGCTCT